CCAGGATTAAACGAGACAGCACAGGAAAATCACTTCCTCCCAAACTCGACAATCTAGGAGTCAGTCCCTGGGCAGCATAAATAATTTTGTGCTCTGCTGCAAACTGAAAGCGGGGCGCTTTGAAACTGGTCCCCATGACCCCTGGGATTCCCTAGCCGTCTTCTGTTCTCTCTTCCCACCCTGAGGCCCTGGGAAGACAGGTCTGGTGCTGGGCTTCCCTGGACACCCCACGGCGTGCACTGCCCTGCCACACACCAGGCTGCCAGGAGCGGGACCGACAGTGACAACTGGCTGGGCTGTGAGTTTGGCACATTCTCCATGTACAATAGACGCCGGCTGTTGTCGCTGCTGTTGCGAGCTGTCAATCGAGCAGCGCAGCCCCGGAGGGTTTCCGGGGCTGGAATCTTTCTGGAAGCAAGATGCCAGGCTTTTCCACCTAGGCAGTGAGTGCCGGGTGGGTTTGAACAGCCGACCTCTGATTCGAAGGCAAACTCTTAACCATTACGCACTCAGTAAAAATGAGCTATTGTCAATAAAAGTCCAAAGAAGGCCTGTAAGCCCTGACCTCTCCCACACCAGGCTCAGACTAGACCTTTTGCGGGGTGCCTCGGGAATCAGACGAGGGTTGGACTGGAGCAGGCCCACACTCCTCCCCTTGTTCTTTCTACCAAGGAAGAGTCTTCAAACAAAACTCTCAGGGCCACAGTCTCAGGGGACGCCAAGGTCAATTGGAATAAGAGAATCCACAAACACAAGGTTCTCCCTCCGACTTCAGTGAGCAGCATCCGGGGTCTTCAAAACTTGTGAGTAGCCATCAAAGGTGCAGCTACTCGCTGTCTGAAGGAAAGAAGAATGATGCCAGTCGAAGACACATGGAAACAATTAGACCGATGGGCCAAGCAAAGACCAGTCCTTATGGCCCAGGGACCAGAAGAACTAGACGGTGCCTGGCAACCACTGCCAACTGCTCTGGCAGGCATCAGTCACCCTAGAACATCCTGGAGAGAGTGAGGGAAGCATGGGGAACAATCTCAGTCCTAAAAGAGACCAGGCTTACTGGTCAGATGGAGACTGGTGGGGCCCCTCGGGCTATGCCCTTTGTCACTCTTCAGCTCTTGCACTGAAATCACCCGACTCAATTTTCAGCCCAAACACTGGACCGGTCTATCAGGGGAGCAGTAACACTAGGGCGATGTACCCACCTTGGGAAAATCAACCACTTGCTGTCGAAAGGGCAGCATTTGCCCAAGGACGAGGTTCGGGAGGGCTAGGGCCACAGTGAGGGTGGGGAACGATGACCCAGGAGAGGATGAAAGGGTTGACAGAAAAGAGTTCCTTGCACGATGATCAAGTGCACACATGAACACACACACACACACACACACACACACCACATTTCATGCCATTGCATGGTAGCTTAACAGGGC